GGTTTATGTACACCTGCCCATCAGTCTTGACCATAGTCTAAGGATCTACAGTGTGCTGGGGTCTGTGCTTGGCATCTCTTCTCCTCAGAAAAAGTGATGAGTCTGATAGTGCATTTCATTCCCCTCCCCTATTCAGAACCACAGCAGGTCTGCGCAGGCCACTGCATTTCTCAGATGAGAAAAGAGGCTTAGAGATGGGGAGTGACCTGTGTAGCATCCAGGTGCAAACCTTGCATGTGTGAGGCTTTCAATGCTGAGGCTGCAGGAAGGCATGCTAATGCTAAGCACTGCTGCTTGCCAGGTTGCTCCAGGGCCAGGCTTCTGGGGAGGCTGCTCTGGTCCCAAGAGCATTCACCAGTAGCAGTCAGCCTTGGAGCACTAATGAACTCAAAGAGTGGTAAAAAATTGACTTCTATTTCCAGGCTTAGGTATATATTCCTTTCCTTTCTGGGCTCCTCAGGGCAGGTGATTACTGGGAGACTCACCTTTTCTATTCCACCTTTACCTCTCTGCAGGTTCCACTGCTCCTGGTGCTGGCACACCTGGCAGTCAGCCAGCGTGGTCATCCTCTTCCACATGTACCTGGACCGCACCCAGCGGATGGGCTCCGTGCGCATGCGTGTCTTCAAGCAGTTGTGCTACCAGTGTGGCACGGCGCGGCTGGACGAGTCAAGCATGCTGGAAGAGAACATTGAAGGGCTGGTGGACAACCTCATCACTAGCCTGCGTGAGCAGTGCTATGATGAGGATGGAGGCCAGTACCGCATCCACGTGGCCAGCCGCCCAGACAGCGGATCACACCGCAGTGAGTTCTGCGAGGCCTGCCAGGAGGGCATTGTGCACTGGAAGCCCAGCGAGAAGCTGCTGGAGGAGGAGGCCACTTATACCTCGGATGCTTCCAAGCTGAAAGCCCAGGGCGGCTTGAGCTACAACTTCTTCTCTCTTCGCTGGGGCCTCCTCTGGGGCTCCCTCTGCCTGCTCATTGTCTACTTTCAGTTTTCATTCCGAGGCTCTGCCTTTCTGTAGTGAAGGTAGTCAGGAACAGGGAAGGCGGGGATACGGGTTGAGAATTACAAAGACTCAGTCTGCTACACATTCAATATATGTTCCCTTGACTATTCAGCTACTGTTGCTGGCATCAGTTTATTCCTCTGTAAATGAGGGATCCTTCCATTAAATTACACAGTGATTAGGAGAAAGAGAAAGGGTCTAATAGAGGTTTTGGAGCTTGCTAGGTTTAGAGTTGGTACCATGTCCACAGGAAGCGTCCTTCTTTTTCCTCCCCCAGATCTATCTCTACAATCCTCCTTTTGCCTTATTTTTATATCCAACACATTGTTAAGACTTCTCTGGGTCCTTTCTGCACCATGCCTCACTCTCATGCTTACCATCAGTTCTGACTGTCATGTTATAGCTCCCCTTGGAGACAGCACTGATTTGTATCCTGTGCTTAAGGACAAAGTCACTAGATTCCCCTTCTGGAAAGTCTTCTTTTACTATCTTGAAATGCTCATGTTTTGCTTTACTGCTAGCTAGGGTCCACTTGGTTTTGATTGTTTAGAGTCACCATCTGATGTAGTAATCATTGGCCATATGGGCCTATTTCAATTTAGTTAAAATATAGTAAGATTGTATTCTTCAGATTGTATCCCTCCCTTTAGAATTCTTTGTAATGCTGGTTTAGTGATCATGAATTCCTCTTTAGTTTGTCATGGAGGGTTTTGGTTTCAGCACCTAATTTCTTCATATACAATCTGAAGAAAACAATCAAAATCAAAGAAACACATCAGACAAAAATCACCAAAAGATCAATTTAGTAAACACAGGAAGAGGGGAAAAAATGAAATACAAGAAATTGAGAAAATGTCAGAAAACATGACCCTAAACATTAATGGATTCAATTCTCCAATCAAAAGAAGAATAGCAAATTGGATTAAAAAAAAAAACAAGTTCCATCCAATGTATGCATTCTGTATTGGGTCATTTTTTAACTGATTAAAGCTTTCATTAATTATGGTATGTCTTTTAATGTATTACCTGTATGTCATATTTATTGAATAAATAAAAGATATTAATCTCTGATCTTAGATAAAAGAATTCAGATAAGGATATCTGCACAAAATAACATACCCTCAAATATAAAGAACCATCAAGAACGTCATAAAGGCAGTCAAACTAACTTATAATAGAAAATAGCCCTATGGCAAAAAAAAAGTAAGTAGAAGCACAATTCCAAACATAGGGTCTTTTCTCCACCACCCCGCAAACCTGCCCCTCCTCAAAAAAATTTTTCCCAACAATTCTTAATATGATCCAAAAAGAAAAGAAAAAAAATAAAATGAAATAAACTGTTTCTCAGTCATGTCAGGCTGAGTTGGGCTGGTGGAGTGTGTACTTGTGCAGGATCATTGATTAACTGGGGAACATAGCAATCAAGTGCCTACCCCTTCCTCCCACCAAGGACTACCACTCCATGCTTTAGTCACCCTTAGAGTCTCAAGGGGACAGGAGGTACAGGACTGAGGTAAGTGGCACCAGCCAGCATTGCTTACTGTAATTGAAGTTTGTGGGTCTTGAGGTAGACTGCCCAATTTATGTTGAAGATCATGTCTCAGAGGATCAGTAGAGCCTGGGGCACTGGAGGTGAGAGCTGTGAGTACATGTGAGCCTAGAAGTTAAAATGAGGTCTGCAGAAAATTCCAGAAGAAAAACATGTTCAATTTCTTTTCCACTAACTTACTTATCTCAATTTAAATAGAATGATCTGTTTCAACTTTCCATGCTCCCTATGTATTGTCTTATTGTCTTCAAAATCCAGTTTCTCAAAGGTCAAGGATTATCTCCACCTCTTTTCTCTTTCTTGATCTACAGAACTCTTATTTGTATATTCCTAAAATTGCCTCCTTGTATTCTTCTGCTAAGCCATTGGCTACTTTTTAGTCTATATTGTATGTGATGTATTTGCTACATTTCATGCTCATTCTTAAAGACTGTATGACAGCACTTGCTGCTCATTTTTACCTTTATTATCTATGGGTAACTTTCTCTTATTCACCCCTTAGATGCTGAGGTTCCCAGGAAATTCTCGTCTACTGTTTCCTCCCCCTCAGTAACATAATAGTCTCTACTCACATTTTTACCACATATAAGCTTCAAGTTTTTCTGAGACAGTCTTGCTATGGTCTTGAACACTCAATTCTCTTCCCACCCTCCTCTTGAGGGCTAAAGTTCCTGGTCTTTATGGCTCTTCTGAGTAGTCCTACTGAACTCCAGACTTACACACTAATTAAACCACTGGGACTACTCTTTAAATGTAGTATGCCGAATCAGTTTTCCCATCAAAATCTGCTTAGAAGTGCCAATATTATTCCTTAGTCTTCTTCATTTCCTTACTCTACTGGATGATTACCATGTCATGTCTTCTCAAGAGTCTGAGGCTGCCGAGCGCTGGTGGCTCACGCCTCTAATCCTAGCTACTCAGGAGGCTGAGATCTGAGGATCGCGGTTCAAAGCCAGCCCGGGCAGGAAAGACTGTGAGACTCCTATCTCCAATAAACCACCAGAAAACTGGAAGTGTCACTGTAGCTCAAGTGGTAGAGCGCTTGGCTTGAGCTGAAGAGCTGAGGGACAGCGCCCAGGCCCAGAGTTCAAGCCCCACGACCGACAAAAAAAAAAGAAAAAAGAGTCTGAGGCTGATCTTTCTCTCTTTCCTTCCTATTTACTGTGCTGCCTAAATCAGTCATTTACTGTCTCTTGCCTTAGCAACTGTTTTAATAATCTTTGTATGTATAACCTCTCCCCTTAAAATATACACTTGGCCACTCTCTGGGGTTCTTTACTAATAATCAGATAGGACCTACACATTCCCTTTCTTATTAGAATCAACTAGAGTATCTTTCTGCTAAGGAATGAAATAGTTACCTTAGCCAGGTACACTTCATTTCCCAGATGGTATACGGTAATCCAGAATCCTTTTGACTGTATAACTTGATCCTGTCCCCAGAATCAAGCCAATACTCTTCTGTGATTCCGTCTCCCTGAGACTCTGGGGCCAACTTCTTTGCAAAATTTTCTTTCCATCTAGACTTTGAGCACTAGCTCCCCTGTAAAGCCTTCTTTCACAGCCATGGACAATGGCAGGGTCTTAACTTAAAAAGAACACATTTGCTACTGTTTGTTTGCTCATGTCTGTCCATCACTGCCAGCTTTCATCTTTCTGTCCTGGTACCAGGCACCAAGTAACTTTAGTCAGATGCAATTGTTTCCTACCTAGTTCAACACTCCTGCCCAGAATGTGTATTTTTCATGTATTATAATTCCCCCAATATGGATAGGAAGGAAATCTTGATTGTTTCTTTTTTTTGGGGGAGTATGGTCGTGGGGCCTGAACTCTTGAGCCACAGCGCCATTGCTGGCTTTTTTTTTCCTGCTTATGTGGTGCGGAGGAATCGAACCCAGGGCCTCATGCATGCAAGGCAAGCACTCTACCACTGAGCCACCTTCCCAATCCCTTGATTATTTCTAAATGAATATGTTTTTCACTTTCATGTTTACTTCCTCCTCAATAGCAAACCATGATTTAGACAATGTAATTATTCACAGTTACAGATGACAGGAAACTGATTTGATGAATCCTGTAAGGCTTACAAGAAAGCTAGTAGTTGTAAATGTGGTTTGGAAGCCCAGACTGCCAAAAAATGAAGAACTAAGACATGTAATGATGCTCACAGTTCAAGGACCATGTCAAGGACCATGGCATATTGCCAAGGGGGCAGAATCAACTCACTAACATCTGGACAACAGATGGGCTTCAGGTCAGCAACTGAACATCTGAAAGTCTAGAAATAGAGATGTTGGAGAAGTGTGCATCATTTGCCTGCTAGAATTACAGAAGTTTCAGAGGGACTGCTCATGGGCACCTGGTGCAGGATGATCCAGTGCCCAAGTACCTTTGTGGCTATAAAATGGAATGTGACACCTTACTTCTTATGGCTTCTAATTTTCTTGTTTCTCTATGTATCCTGTAACTGCCTCTGTGGTGTTGGTGTCAGAAAAAGGCAGTGTTTGCTATCTCCCCTGTGCATCTTTCTGTTCATTATCTAGCAGTGCACGTTTAGCTTTTACTGATTTCTTGGTTAGTTACTGCTGGAAATAATGGTAAGCTATACAAAGGAATTTGTGCTGGAATTTCAGAAATCTGGGTACCAGTCCAACAATACAGTGGGATGAGCCAAATCATTGCCATCCTTGGAAAAACAGGGAAAGGAGTATGTTCTCAGGAATACAGTTGTATTCTGTTGTGCATTTTTATTTACAATTCAACATTTACATGCTTAGCTCTAGATTGATATACTTAGTTCAAAGATAAGTAGAAATAGTTCCTAATTTGGAGCTACTGCAGTGGGTGGGGAGTCTTAATTATGCTAGTCAGTGTTGTACTTGCATTGGGGACACCCTGACCATAGTGGGGACAGGTACTAGGTTCCCTAGGAGAAGTCATGAGTGAATATATTTGGAAGGATCTGTAAAAGTAGGCCTAAAAGCCTTTGCTGAGCTAAAAGGGAGCTGGGCACATTCCATGCCAAGGGATGAAAAATAAAAGACCCAGAAACAAAGTTTATTTCATGTTCAGGAAACAGAAATTAAGCAACTGCCAGAAGAAGGCAGGAGGATGAAGGGAAGGAAAAGGGGTTTTCAAAAATCCCCATATAAAGCTGGGAGTGGTGGCTCACCCCTGTAATCCTAGCTATTCAGAAGGCTGAGATCTGAAGCTCACGGTTCAAAGCCAGCCAAAGCAGGAAAGTTCATGAGACTCTTTGCCGGTCGTGGGGCTTGAACTCTGGGCCTGGGTGCTGTCCCTCAGCTCTTCAGCTCAAGGCTAGCACTCTACCACTTGAGCCACAGTGCCACTTCTGGCTTTTTTTGCTTATGTGGTGCTGAGGAATTGAACTCAGGGCCTCATGTATGCAAGGCAAGCACTCTACTACTGAGCCACCTTCCTAGCCCCCATGAGACTCTATCTCCAAAAAAAAACACAAGAAAACCAGAAGTGGTGTTATGGCTCAAGAGGTAGAGCGTTAGCCTTGAGCTGAAGAGCTGAGGAGCAATGCCCAGGCTTAGAGTTCAAGCCCCATGACTGACCAAAAAACAAAAAATCCCCATATAGTCTCAGTGTGTTTTAACCATTTGTATTCTTTTCATCCTGAGAACTATCTGTTCAGCTCATTTCTCCATTAGATTAGGCAATTTTCTCACTCTCTTTCTTTCTTTTTTCTTTCCTTTCTTTTCCTTCCTTTTCTTCCTTTCTCTTTTGTGCTGGTCCTGGGATTTGAACACTCTACATATTCTGAATATTATTTCTTTTGTTGACTGATGATAGCTGGTAAAGACTTTTTCCCATTCTGTAGTTTTGTCTCTGATTCTGGCAATTAGTGCTGATATGCAGAAACTTACAATTTAAGTCTAGTTTGTCAATTCTTGTTCTTATTTTCTGGGAAATTGGACTCATTCAGAAAATAGTTACCTAGTGTCTATAAGTTTCAGTTATGTTTTCCTGTAGTAGTTACAAAAAAAATCAGATACTGATTTTTGATCCATTTGGAGTTGAGTGTGTGTGTGTGTGTGTGTGTGTGTGTGTGTCTGATAGTCTTGGGGGCTTGAACTCATCTGTGAGTTTTCTATTAAAGGCTGATGCTTTACCACCTCTTGAACCACAGCTACATTTCCAGCTTTGTTTGTGTAGTTAATTGGATAGAAAAGTCTTACAAGCTTTACTGTCTGGTCTGGCTTTGAGCTGTAATCCTCAGATCTCAGGCTCCGAGCAACTAGAATTACAGGTGTGAGCAATCAGTATACAGCTTTGGATTTTTTTTTTTTACAAGGTGAGAGGTAGGGTATTGATTTCAATACTGGAATTGATAAACTCAAGGCCTTTTCCCTCTATCCTTTTGTATTCAAAACTTAGAATATATCAGTGCAATGTCTTCTGGAATTTATTGTTGCAGAGAAAAATCAGGTATTAACCTGACCCTTTCCCCTTTTATATTGCCTAATGTAATAGAAAAAACTCATTGATGTAGAAGCCTAATGGATCTTGTACGGTTGCTAAGGGAAATTCTAGGGAATTTGTAAGCTCTTTTTGGTGGGGCTTGTTTACTTTTTGTTTTGTTACTTCTTGTAGCAATTTTGTTCTTGTGGGAAGAGAGGGTGTTTACTCTTGAGGTTGTTTAAATTGTTTATGTGTTTGAGCAATAGTTTTTGTTTAAAATGTGCTTAATGGCTTTCCCCTGCTGACTTTTATTGAAGAGTTATCTTACAGATTATATAATGTGCCTTCAAATTATTTAGAGAAAATAAAGGGATAATAAAACTGCTTGAGCTCACTATCGTTTTTTGTTTTGTTTTGTTTTGTTTTTACTGGAAGAAAGAGCTTGTTGCTAAAGGAGATGAGGACACAGAGGGGACCTACTGTGATGCTGCTTTCCTCCACAGGAAGATGGCAAAAAGGGTTTTATTTCCCGACCAGGTTTTGCTGTAGGTCACCTTATAGAGGTATTGCTTCTTTCATTGACTTGTACAAAGACCTTTAGCAGCTCGGTTTAAATGTCATGAAGACTCAATCTGGAAAATAATGCTGTGACCAGGTGCAACTTGTCCAAGGAACCAGTCCATTTCAAGAAGAAGGATGGAGATATATTCCCCTCAACCACTGTTACTCTCTATACACCCTCATCTCTAGTCCTTTTGTAGGAAATGGGGGAAGGATAGGGAGGAGGAATCAATGCCTTTTTCCTGTTTTACACTCAGTACAACACACAGCTTCTATGTCACAACTTTGGTTCCTTTTGGTCACTAAAATGAAGGGATTTCTCTCTACCAACCATCAGTCAGTTCTTTTGATATAAGAGATCCTTCAATGGACAAGTTGAGTGTCTTCTGATTGCAGTTAATCCTGACTCTGTCTATCAGGGGGCTGTGTTAGATCCTACAAGTCAAGGACTCATAAGAATACCCTTATCTCAGATGTTGGGGACCATGCTTCTGATAACCAGTTACACATTAGGGTTTACATAACTATTTGGACTTTAATTTATTTGCTATAGTGGCTCCCAAGACTCAGAGAAATACTTTACTTATGTTTATTTCTTTATTGCAAAGTATATTACAAAAGATACAGATGAAGAGCTACATAGAAGAGATCATAGTGGTGCTTTCCTATTTTCTCCTGTTACATCTCTCTCCAGGAACCTGCATGGATTCAGCTATCTGGAGACCTTCTATATCCTATTTATTTTATTTATTTTTTAATAAGCTTCATGGAGGCCTCATTATGATGACATGATTGATTAAATCACTGGCCACTGATAGTCATTTTAAACCTCATCCTTTCTTACCTTCCTAGAGGTTGAAGACTGGGGCTGAAAGTCACAACCATTGAATCATGCCAAGGCTTTTTCAGTGAACAATCACTACCTTGAAGTTCTTAGAGGCCCAGCTACTAGTCCTCTCATTAGTATACTGGACAGTCCTGCTGGTATTGGTAACTCATACTGTAAGCTCAGCTAGGAAACAGACATCAGGGGAGATCCTGCTTCATAGCCAACCCACGAAGGAAAGTCTGTAAATTCCATCCCCAATTAATCACAAAAATCTTACCTGGAGGTGTAGTTCAAGTCATAGAATACCAATTATAAGCATCCTGTTTTCAAGCTCATGTATCAATATTCTTATCATTTCATATATTCAAGGATTTTAGAAGTATGCCAGAAAATAAAGAGGAACATCAACTATACATAGCTATTGCAAAAGCCTGCTAGAGTAGAAGAAGTGATGTTTTCTACTTAGTCTGAAAGAGAAATTTTAGATTAGTTTATAAATTTATCATGACTGCCACTGTATCATTTCCCAACATTAGAGACATGTTGCTATTGGTCTTCAGTGGTTTCTAGAAAACAGCTCTCTTTCAATTTTTTTTTTTTTTTTTGCTAGTCCTGGGGCTTGAACTCAGGGCCTGGGCACTGTCCCTGAGCTTCTTTTGCTCAAGGCTAGCACTCTAACACTTGAGCCACAGCGCCACTTCTGGCTTTTTCTGTTTATGTGGTACCAAGGATTGAATCCAGGGCTTCATGTATGTGAGGCAAGCACTTTACCACTAAAGCCACATTCCCAACCCTCTTTTTATTTTGCATGTCTTTGATTATGTCACTAGAAAATTTGGAAAGTTTGGGAGATTTAGGGAGTAAGTAATAGACTGTGTTCACTATTTAAAAAAGAAGTTATTCTTTTAATGTCCTTTTAAAACTACCTTAAATAAATTAATTTAAACCTTGAATTAGAACAAGGTTATTTAGAAGCAAATAAATGATCCAGAATTGGAGACATGTTAAGTGATCTTTAAATAATTATATCATTAAAATTAGTATTGTGTATTCATAAATCAGTACCAGTAAAGTGTTCCTTTCCTTGCTACAGCAGGCTATATGCTGTTTCTTAATTCCACTGTTTCTTTTCCCCAAGTAACAGGATTGCAGCTGGTCACATGGCCTTACAGAATGGATTACTTAAACTAGACTTTTATAGCTAGCTGTGGTAATACCACTAAGTTCTGGCCAATTACACAGTAGTTATATGTATTAAGGAGAAATGTCTTAAAGGGTATCATTTAAGTAGATGAGTGACATTAAAAAATTATATACTATGATCAAACAGGATTCATTCCAGGGATGCAAAGCTGGTTCAATATATAAAAATCAATTAATGTAATTCAACACATCAATAGGAGCAAGGACAAGAAGCATATGATCATCTCAATAGATTTAGGAAAAGCATTTGAGAAAATACAACACATGGGGCTGGGAAGGTGGCTTAGTGGTAGAACTCTTGCCTTGCATGGCCCTGGGTTCAATTCCTCAGCACCACATAAGCAAAAAGAAAAAAGCTGGAAGTGCCGCTGTGGCCCAAGTGGTAGAGCGCTAGCCTTGAGCTGAAGAGACGAAGGACAGCTCCAGCCCCAGAGTTCAGGCCCCACAACCATCACATCACCACCACCACCAACAACAAAAAGATAATAAAAAATATTTAAAAAAAAGAAAATACAACACACCTGTATGATGAAAGC